GACAGAGGCTTCGGGTTTCCGAGGACGAGAGCTGCGGCAAGTCACCGTGATCTTCGACCCCTACCTCACCATGCCAGACTTCCTGGAAGACGGCAGCCGGGACCCCGGGACCCAACAGACCCCCTTGGACGGCTGGGGCCGGGATTCAGACTCAAAGCGAACCGACCGGAAAGAGACCATTTGGTTTCGTTGATGTGCACTTCTTGCCAAGGTTCCAAAAGGGGATGGCCCAATTTCTGGTTCCGAACTTGGCAACTGAGCCCGCCCTTTTCTTTGTATCGCAGCTGAGCGGTTTTATGTCAACGCTGCGTACTACCCACGCGTACTCCTTAATTCATGTACTTATACTATGTATACCACACATAGGCTTGTGATCCATCATGGTGGAAGGGCACCCCCCGTAAAAGCATTGTGACAATTGGCCTGAGTCATCCCAAAAGCTGGAATCGAGGCCAGCGGCTTTGCGTGCAAAGAAACATGCCAGCCAACTCCACCAGCAGAACCTCAGGTGTCCCTTAGCTGGTCTTTTGGATTGGTGGCTTGGATTTGGATTTAATCCCCTGAGGTTCATGGAAAATGGGACCACGTTAAGCCACCAAGCCACGCGAGAAGCTCAAGGTGGCCTGGATTTGGATTTGCACCCCTGTGTCCTTGGGTAGAAACACCACCCCGCAAAACCACCAAACCAAACGGGGGGGAAGCTCAAGGTGGCCCTTGCCATGGCGAGGTTTGGAAACGCGGCTCTGCTGGGAGGCCACAAAGCCAAACCACTTGCACACGCTTCTGGAGGCCGGACAGCTTGCTTCTCCTCGAGGGTTGCAGGAGCGAGTCGCTGCATCCGCCAAGTTTAGTCATTATTTGGCGGCGCTGAAAGCAAGCGGGAAATGTGCCAAGTGAGTCGGGGCGGCGCAAAACTAGAACGAGCTTGCCAGCCGGGTAAAATGAGCTCGGCCCCGTGACACAGATGCTGCGTTTTTGGGGGCCTATTAGTTCATTGCCCGGATATGCTCCTTTGTTTTCCTCGCCTGGGTTAGGATGATGTGGGACTCGACTAGCAAGATCTTATGTGAGGGGACAAGGTGGGAGCTCACCCAGATTCCGATAAATCAGGAGGCCGAGCCGAGCCCAAGCCCTCAATGCTGCTTTCCAGGGCTTAGACCAAAGAAACCAGCGATTGGGCCACCGTACAACATAAATTCAGTAGAATTCCTGACTATCCTACGGATACGTGTCATTATCAATCATTATCATGAAGCAGGAGGGCAAACATGACATGGGCTTGCTGGCGTGGAGAATGCTGGTGCAGTGTCTAGGGAGTGAGCTGCCCCTTAAACCTTTCGCCAGTACATTACGGCCCCCAAACGGGCATATGTGTTGGGCCGCTTGTCTCAGGGTCCCGTGATGGTTCCATTACCGGTTCTTGAGGAGCTTCTTGCAACCTGTTCTGAATACCAAAGGTCCATTCTTGGCATACCGGTATCCGAAACGAGAGGCCTCTTTTTGTTTGTAGCAGGGTGGCGAACTTGCAACAAGGTCCACGTGAGATTTCTGTTCTCATTGAGCTTACCTTAGGACACCTGCGTTATCATTTAACAGATGTGCTGCCCCAGCCCAACTCCTCACCTGACTATGTCTTCCGCACAATTCAGTTGCTACACAAGGCATCCTTAAATCAAAAACTCGCACGATGCGAGCTTCAGTCTCACGAATAAGTAAAATAACGTGAAGAGTAGTGGTGATTCAAGATCACCGGAGTCCCTACTTTTGCTACACCTCCTAAGTCATTTCACAAAGTCGGACCAGAGTCAAGCTCAACAGGGTCTTCTTCCCCCGCTGATTACCCCAAGCCCGTTCCCTTGGCTGTGGTTTCGCTAGATAGTAGGTAGGGACAGTGGGAATCTCGTTAATCCATTCATGCGCGTCACTAATTAGATGACGAGGCATTTGGCTACCTTAAGAGAGTCATAGTTACTCCCGCCGTGTACCCGCGCTTGTTTAAATTTCATCACTTTGACCTTCAGAGCACTGGAGATGTCAATATTTTGGTTTTTCACTTCGCCGTGTCAAGCAGTCCACTCAAACCCGCTGGGTTTGGCGAGGCGAACCGCAAGAACGGGGAGGGGCCTTTGTCCAGCTACGTGATGCTACGGGACATGGTGATGAACCTGGGCCTGGAGGCTGTCCGTGGCATTGGATTCAATTAGGCGTTTTTTTTTCAGGGGGGCGGCCCCAGGCCTTCGGGTATCCCCCCAAATCCTGACCAACACCCTCGAGAGTTCATGGATTTTCCATTTCGGGGCCCCTCCAACCTGTGTTGTGGTCATGATTCGCCACCTGCACGAAATGTTGCCCAACAAATAAAGGGGGCCCTCCAAGGCCAACGTGTGAGCTTCCTAGTGGGGTGATTCAGGGGGAACGGGAAGCTCTGCCTGAATTTAGAAATGCGAGAATTTCGAGGACCCAACAAAACACCTCAAGATGCAGGTCTGGGCAAGAGACCGAGCTGACGTGGCGCGAAAAAACAAGCTTGGTGCACGCAGGTCCTTTGCTGGCGGTTCTCCGTATTCTGCCGTATCCCTGGCTTGGGAAGAACAGCAATTTGCCCAGCAAGAGGCATGATATTTTTGATGGCTTTGGCATGCCTTGTTGTTTTCGAACAAGTGCTGCAAATGTACGTGGGCGCGTGTCATGGAAGCCGGCGCTAGAAGCGTGGGTCACAGGCATCGCCCGCAATACTGTGGATGCGTGGTCAATAATGAGGGAACGACCCTATGAACCATCCCTAGTGCTCCCTAGGTGCAGTCCCCAGACACTTGAATTCTCCTACTAAGAGCCGGCAAATCATGAGGCCTCCTCTCCCTGCTCCTCTCTTATCACTAATTACTAACAACAGGGCTTGTAGGATGCATGTGGACCAGAGAAAAGCCAGCTTTACCATCTAATTTAGAAGATCCCTTTAGGATCCCCTTGTGAAGCAGGTGGTTTTTGGATCTTTCCGGAGCCCTGGCACGGGCATCGTTGCACCTCTCCCCCCTCCCCGGCGGGTTTTCGGCTAGGGCGCGGCGGAGCCTGGGGGATACCAGGGCTGCCGATGCCGCTGGCAGCCGAAGCCCCGGGCCTCGCTAAAGGCGCTGCTGCCACCAGAGGAGGAAGACTCCTACTTGGGCGGCTGTGTGGTGGCATGAGGCAGGGGCCCGATCTGCATTTTTGTTTGGCAAGGCAATGCGCAGCACTTGTTTTTGTTGGGTTAACAAAATCATATTATACTTTAGAGCCTCCGGCTCAGTCCGCCGACATTGTCCTCTCCCTTTTCTCCTTCTTCCTCTCTTCCTTGTCTCCCTTGTGTGCTCTCCCTCCCTCTGCTCCCATCCTCCCCATCCCCCCAAGCCTCTCTCTTCCCAATCTCCCTCTCTCGTATGTATGCATGCATGTACATAAGTATGTATGTATGCATGTATGTATGTATGTATGTATGTATGTATGTATGTATGTATGTATGTATGTATGTATGTATGTATGTAAGTGTAAGTAAGTAAGTAAGTATGTATGTACGTAATGTATTTATGTATGTATGTATGTATGTATGTAATGTAATGTATGTATGTTATGTAATGTATGTATGTATGTATGTATGTATGTATGTATGTATGTATGTATGTATGTATGTATGTAATGTAATGTATGTATGTAATGTAATGTGTATGTATGTAATGTAATGTAATGTATGTGTAATGTAATGTAATGTATGTATGTAATGTGTATGTATGTGTAATGTATGTATGTATGTATGTATGTATGTAATGTATGTATGTATGTATGTATGTATGTATGTATGTATGTATGTATGTATGTATGTATGTAATGTATGTATGTATGTATGTATGTATGTATGTATGTATGTATGTATGTATGTATGTATGTATGTATGTATGTATGTATGTATGTATGTATGTATGTATGTATGTAATGTAATGTAATGTATGTATGTATGTATGTATGTATGTATGTATGTATGTATGTATGTATGTATGTATGTATGTATGTATGTATGTATGTATGTAATGTAATGTATGTATGTATGTATGTATGTATGTAATGTAATGTAATGTATGTATGTATGTATGTATGTATGTATGTATGTATGTATGTAATGTATGTATGTATGTATGTAATGTAATGTAATGTATGTAATGTAATGTAATGTAATGTAATGTAATGTAATGTAATGTATGTATGTAATGTATGTATGTATGTATGTATGTATGTAATGTATGTATGTATGTATGTATGTATGTATGTATGTATGTATGTATGTATGTATGTATGTATGTATGTATGTATGTATGTATGTAGTATGTATGTATGTATGTATGTATGTATGTATGTATGTATGTATGTATGTATGTATGTATGTATGTATGTATGTATGTATGTATGTATGTATGTATGTATGTATGTATGTATGTATGTATGTATGTATGTATGTATGTATGTATGTATGTATGTATGTATGTATGTATGTATGTATGTATGTATGTATGTATGTATGTATGTATGTATGTATGTATGTATGTATGTATGTATGTATGTATGTATGTATGTATGTATGTATGTATGTATGTATGTATGTATGTATGTATGTATGCGGTAGGTAGGTGGTATGTATGTAATGCATGTATGCATGTATGTATGTATGTATGTATGCATGCATGTATGTATGTATGTATGCATGCATGCATGCATGCATGTATGTATGTATTTCCCGCAAAAAAAACACGGTTTTTCCAGCGTTTTCGCAAAGAGGACGTCCAAAAACATTGAGTTTTTCCAGATTTTCGGCAAAAGGATGCAGGAAGCCCAAGCCAGCAAAAAAGCCGGCAGGGGGAATCGAGCCTGGGACCCCTGTTTTGCGACACCGGCTCCCCGAAGACTACGTTTAGTGGAACGTCATCAAATTGCCGCGCGGTACGTGGGGGACCCCCCCCCCCCAAAAAAACCTACGTAATAGACGTCGGGCGGGGGGGGGTTAGGGGGGGGGGTTATTCTATCCTCTAGTAAGTATCCGACACGCCGAGCAATGTCGGCGGATATATATATATATATATATATTTTGAATGGAAGGAGCCAACTTCGAACTTCAATCGGTTTGGGTGCTTGAAACACTTCCTTTGGCCGAAGTTTCCTTTCCAGCGCGGGAGGGGGGGTGTATTGATGCTCGGGAACAAGATGCAGGAGCCTGCTGGACGTGGGCTAGCGGGCTAGGGACCAGCCGCCGCCCCTTCATTCTTTGAACCGGTGCAGCTTGCCTCACGTGTCCAAAATGAACCGATCTATCCACCTTGTTCATCTTTGGGTGTCCTGGCTTTGGTCTATAAGTCAAAGCCCATGAAGGTCTTAACATTTACTAGTTATCGGCTCTTGTAACGTGAGTTTTGGCCAGCTTTGGGCCAGTTGATCATGTGCCGACCTCGAATTGCATCGAGCAACAGTTCGTTTTGTATGCTTAGCCTGTGCCCTGTCACATTTGCATTTGCCAGATCTACCTATTCCTTCCCACGCTGGCAATTTAGGGAAAGGCGGGGCCAGGACACAACTTGAGCCAGCCACAGCTGAATCTTGTGGGATAAGGAGTTGGCAGAGATGTTTGACACGAAGGGTCTTTCAAAGTAAATGTCTGTTCACAGTGTTTGTTGAAGTTTCTAGACTGGCAGGCGAGCTTTGGCAGCTTAAAGCGCTTGTCAGCCATTGAGGCCACGCCTGCGTCTGCAACCATTGGTGCGTTGTGTTGGTCAGCTTGTTTGAACATAGATGCCGGGCCGGCTTGCTTCTAATCATTTGCAAGTGCCATCTATGTGTCCAGAGGCCGCCTACCAAGAAACACGGAAATGCACAGGCCGTTCTGGAAGTCGACTTTCCAACTGGCTGTGGGTCAACAGTAGGTACCTAAAATTGAATCCTGGTAAATGGAAACAAGGACTAAAACCTGCAGTCCCCTGGTGGTTTATTTTTGACCATTCTTGACCCACACCAAATGGAAAGGGGGTTGTGCACTTCCGTGTTGCTTGGCCTGCAACGTGCAGGCTCTCTCTCGAGCCGGACCTCATGGGTCGCGTTCGCTGGCGTTTCACCCACCCGGTCACCCGGTGGTTAATGTCCCAGTCCGGTGCCATGGCGTTTTTTCTGGTGCGTGGGAGCTTGCCACGACGTGTTTCAATAGATATCATACCGTTTTCTCAACATCAGCAGAGTGTGACGTATGTGTCGTTGTTCCATGGCTACTGGGCGAGGTGCTAGACGCCGCAAAGTTGCCGGCCTAGTGATGAGTTGCTTCAATGGAAAGGGCCCAGATTGCAGATGGCCACAGGGCAGTTGATGGACCGCCGGCAGGTGTTTCTGAGGTTTTGGGCATCTGGGCGTGGACCAAACTTGTAACTTAACTCATTGCCAGACGTGTGTAACCGAACTTTTGTCCCTTGTCCACTTTTGGGTTCATTCACGCCCCCTTTTGACCATGCAGGGCAACTAGCTCGGGCCAAGCTTTTTTGCCCTAGTGAGGCCTGTTTCGGAAACTTGAGCTCTTGTGGAAGGAACCGGAGGTTAGCCTGGAGCTACTGCACATGTGCGGCATCCTGACATATCCTGACTATTGGTCAACGCACGCCTCGTGTTGCAGAGGGTTCCTAGAACAGTGAAGCAAGTAGAAAGTCCACCATGAGAGCTCTAAGAATTAGAATGGGCCTGGCCCGGCCCAATCATCCAGGAAGGGAGCCGTTCCGGAGCTGGGGATCCGATTTGCCTTTAAGGAGGGAGCCAAGGAACCACCAGGAGTCCTGTAAGGACAGAATTGTTATCCCATGTTCAAAGGAGCATCATGCTTTGGAAGTGTGGGAGGTTTAGCTGGAAGATCAGTTTCCTCTAGGAACCCCCGTGTCAGGTGCCATGTTCATTGGTGGGAGCCCATGTTCCAAAGAGCATCGTGCTTTTTGACGATTTGGCCCCACATCAGACGGCAGGGCACGCAAGTTCCGGGTGCGCATCCAGCGGCATGTCTCGAGGATGGCGCTTGGATCCACGAGTGGTCGGATGAGTTCAACGGCGATGCATTAGATCCGACCTTCGCCTGCACCTGCGGCTTCCCCGCCGATACGGATGTACGGGTCATTTTTTTTCGCCACAGACAAACCCGCAGGTTTCAGTTGGTTCCTTTCACCAGGGTTTCATTTTGGGTACCTACTTTGGGACCCACAGCCAACTCAATGGAACCGAAGGGGGGGTGGTACTTTGTCTCACTCAGAGCCCCGGACAGCGGGTCGAAACCATGGCTTCAAGGCGGCTCCGGGGGGGCTCTTTGGAATTCACCGTGCATGTGCCGTCGATTTTTTGTGGTTTCTGGAATTTGCTTTCGTGCAACATCACTCTGTAAGCCGGAGGGGGCCCTACAAACCAGCTTCTAAAGGACCCCGGCCTTATTCAAGTTAAGCCCGCTATATGGCAGCTGGCAGATGACTGCCCTTTGTGGCAAAGTAGGTCTTCCAGGTGTCTTCCTGCTCGTGAGAGTGGGAGGGAGGACGACCTGTTAAGTCTTGGGGGCGTTAATTTGCCTTGCTCCACTGTTGCTTTTGAATGGACAATGGGCAAAGTTAGATTGCATGGGTATCAGTTTTGGATAGAGCCTCTTCGTTTACCGGATTCCTCCAGCTATAACGCCGAGAGATTTGCAAAGTTGGTTCCAGCTAACACCTAGTCATTTTGCATCGTGTTGGGCCAATGAATGCAAGGTCCTAGGGTGCACGGCCAGAGACAGAGAGAGGGAGGGAGGGAGAGAGAGAAGGGCCCCCTTCTTGCCCGTCACCCAAGTTTCACTTTGCAATTTTGCAGCTGGCTTTCAGAGAAGCACTTGCCATTCTTGGAGGGCCCCAAAAAGGGGGATCAAAGCTTTGCAACAGCAAGAGCTGGGAAGAGCAAAAAGGGGAGATAGGCGTGCCAGTGCGTGCCTTGCTGAGGAGCTTCTGGCAAGTCGTGACCAGCAACTTGGAGGCATCAGGACTGATCAGGACTGTGGCCGCATGTGGCCCCTATCGGGCATGAGGCGCTTGTGAACTCGTCGTTTTTTTTTTTTCAACCCCCCGAAGCCAAACGAACAAAGGGGCAATTTCGAGCAAGCCGCTGAAACCAACAACCACAGAACACCCACTCATTTTGAGGAACGCCCAAGTTCTTGGTTCGAACATCGCGCAACCAAGCCGCGGAGGCAAAATGGAGGGGGGGGCAACCAAGAGAAACATGTGCCTAACAACAGCGTATATATATATATATATGTTTGTTTGTTTGTTTGTTTGTTTGTTTGTCTGTTTGCGTGTTTGTGTTTGGCTCCTTTGTTGGCTTGTTTGTTGCTTGCCTGCTTGTTTGTGTCTTTTGTGTGTTTGTCTGTTTGTTTGTTTGTTTGTTTGTTTGTTCGTTCGTTCGTTCGAACGTTCTTTATTCTTTGGTTCCCAGATGTTCGGGCAGGTTGCAACGACTCCAGCTTTGCTTGTCTCCGAAGCTTGCACGCTCTTGGCAGGTTGGCTGGCCGGCTGACTGCTTGCTTGCTGTTTGCTGTTTGCTAATGTTGACCCATGATGGGTGCTCCCTCCAAAAGTGATGAATCCCCACCAAAAGGGGACACCCCCCTATATTGATCCAATAGGGGTTATTAATCCGGGATTAACATTAGCTGGTGGATGGAGGGGGGCCGTTGCTGAGCTGAGACCCGGTATCCAAATTTGCCGCGGAGGGAGCCTTGCGGAGCTAGCGATCGGAGTCCAAGGGCATGATGCGGAATTTGTGATGTTCCCGGCTTTTGGCCCTTGACTCATCTTGCCTTTAGAAATGGCTCTGAGATCTGCATTTGTTCAGTTTTTGAGCTCCCAACCCTGCCTTGAGCCATAGGGGCGTGTTCCAGTCAAGAGGCAAACTCTGTTCTTCATGGAACCTTTGGTGGACAGAATCCGGCCCAATTGGACCATCTCTTCGCCCCTTAGGCCGCGGAGGGTATGAGGGCATCGACCTTCCCGTTGCAGGCAGGCCCTTTTGTTCTTGGCGTTTGCTTTGTGTTGTTTGTGTTTGTTCTTTGTTCTTGGTTATTTCTGCTACTGGGGGCACAAAGAAAAGTTCTTTGCGGTCGGGGTGCAGGATATGCGAGCATGCTTGGATGAGCTTTTGATATGTTGCAGGGAGGATCTGTGAGCCTCGTCTATCCTGCTTTGCACATGGAATTGCAAGGGGGTGTCGATCTCCGCGCGGGTACAGGGAAAGTAGAAGATGGGCCCGGCAGGAGCCCATTTCTCACTCCTGAACGCTCGCCAGAAAATCCCCCGAAAAGGAGATCCCTGAATCGGATACTAGTGGTTCACAATGTGTGTTGTGTACTTGTCTCCAAGATGTGGAGCGTCGCTCTTGCCAATCAAATGCCAAGAAAGTGCTCTATTGGGTGATCCCAAAATCGGGGACCCCCTTGTTGGGTGCTGCCAGTGGCGTGCAGTGAAAGGAAGGCCATTTTGTTGACATGTCCTTCTTCACTTTGCTTTGCCATCCTGGTTGTTAAGGGAGGTGGCCATGCCTTGTCAATGAATACCTCTGAGTTTTGGATGGCAACCGCCCAGTATAGACTATAGTCTTACAGAGACATGATGAGGCCATGATTTGAGGTTTTATTCCGGGGTTCACACGTATACAATGCATCCCCTGGAATCCGCGAGTAAGGGCCAATCAACCCATGACGGCCCTGGTGAATTTGGGTTTAAAGCCTCGTGCTCCCCTAAAGAATGGTCAGCCCCCGAAAGAAATGAGATGCGAAGCTCAAGAAAGCTGACTCTCAGTCAACCGGCCCGAGGCCGGGGTTCCATTTGGACTCAAACCCCAGGCTTCTCCCTTTGGGATGATGGCAGGCTTCCTTGAAACCACAATCAAAGCCCGGGTAGAAGGTTAGTAAGGGATACTCCCAACCGGAAATACCAGCAGCCTTCTTAGTTAGCTGTTTACATGGTTCTGGGTAGGCCATTGCCGGGTTTTGATCTATGACTCGCGTGGTGTTCCGGGTGAGCACCCCGCACCTCCCCCCTTCAGATCAGCCAGGTCTCAATGTGACAGCCTGCCGCTCCGCGGCTTGCCGTGAGGAGAACGCGCAGGTGGGTCCAGATTTGTTTTGCCCTTTGTCGGCCTACCCATTGGCGTTAGCATTCCTTTCCGCACCTATGCATGGGTACTTGCATGTTTCTCCCCCGTTGTGGCGATTTTGACTTTCACCCTAGTGCATATGGGTGCTTGTGTTTTGTTGAGGGTGGGTAGCCTTTTCACCTAGGGCCACCCAAAGGCAAACCACCGTACCCATGACCAGTTTTGACGGATTTGGTTGGTGGGGGAGATCTAACATACCGCCTAGATTGGAATTGATGCAGGAAAAAGGTTCAGAGTTCGACGCATGTAAGACATGTGCATATTTCAGGTATATCCCTTAAATTCCCTTAATTCGTGATGTGGATTGTTGGCTTGGGGATTTGAACTCCTTGCCCTTCTTGAGGGTAGAAGAGGAACACCCCAACCTCCAAACCACCAAACCAAATTACCCAAATAAGTAGAGGCTGAGACGAGTATGGGACGAAACTTCCTTGCTATTACCAGGGATCCACGTTGGGGTTATCCTTTTTTTTTGATGGACGAAATCCATTTTGCATTGTACCACCTGAGAACCCCTGGAATGATGATTCCCTTTGAAATAACATGGTTTTCCTATGGTTGACTCATGGTTTCTCATGGTTTCCCATGGTTTTTTAGGTGTTCCGAGATGGAATGCGTCCACCCCACGGCATGTTCCCCCCTTTGCCGGGGCTCCTGACTTCGGGAGGTGGCCGGGGGCTTTCTGCGGATCCTCTCGGAGCGGGACGGCCAGGACGCCACCAGGCTCGGCTGACGGGTTGTCGACGGGGCAAAGGACTTGTGATTGCGATACTAGGTCCCCCAGCTAGGTGTCCTTGTGCCAACTCTTGTTGGTTGGGAGGGTTCCCTGGCTGGAGAAAATCCTGCACCACTTTGACACCATCGGAAATTATTGTTTCTTGGTATTGGCAAGGGAATCTCCATCCACACTAGGTCCCCCAGTAGTGCCCTTCTCTCCCCTTTTTGGTTGTACTAAAATAGACTACACGAAAAGGGTACCCTTATTCTAACCTTTCTACTGGAGGACCTAGGATAGGTTGGGAATGACAACGCGTCTGGGGTCAGGGTTCCACTTTTTGACTACAGGCAGACTTGAACCCATGGTTGATTTCCCCCAAAGGGACAGCCCTGGGTTTAAGCCTACCTTGGGGTAGTCGAAAAGTGGAACCCTGCTTGGGGTTTTGTAGGTGGGTATTGCTGGAAAAGAAAAGTCCCCCCAAAACTTGCTGGCTTTTAGTAGGGGATCAACAGGAGTTTTGGAATGAACAGTTTTGGATGCCCGAATCAAGGAAACCATGGGATGGATGGTTCATAGGAGTCATTGCATTTCTCATTCCCTGCTGAAACTAGCAAGATGAGCAGGATTTGGTGATCAATTTGTCGCACCACACGACAAAACGAGCAAGCAGGAGGTTTCCACGCACCAGACAGTTGGGTTCATACTGGGGTCCCCTGTCAATTTGTCGCACCACACGACAAAGCGAGCAAGCGGGATCTTCTGAACTGGAGCTGGAGTAGCCAAAGTTGTCTTCAAGGGGAGCCTTTCGGAGCCAGCAGGAGTCCAGGTAATATCATAATTACACTGGGTTCTTCTCAGAAGATATGTTCCATTATAAGGTGAGCTAAATACGGAGCATCCGAACAGCGCAAATTTTGGCGTCCAGAGTTTGGTAGGAGGATAGGAACCTGAAAAAAGTGGTCCCCAAATGGGGGGGCGATAAGCTTTTCCATTTTCATTTGTTCAGTGGTCGCTGCAAGTGCGTGGTTCGGTGGGTTGGCTGAGGTTCGGAGCCTCAACCTGTGTGCCGGACGGTAAATAGTTTCCCCTTTTTGGTGTCCCACGACGCGCCACGGACGAGAGATCACCCTCCGTCCAAAGCCACGACACGACACAAGACGGTCTACAGCTGAGTCACCGACAAATCAAGAGAGGCTGCAAGCTGTTTCGGTAAGGTAGGGCTCCTTCATGTCGGGACTCCCAACCTTGCTCCTTTTATGTTGCTAGGTCCCCCAGTAGTGCCCTTTTACGGGGAGGAGGTACCCTTATTCTAACCTCTCTACTGGAGGACCTAGGTGTTTTTTCCAAGGCTTGGCTTCGTGCAGTGGATTCGGGGCTTTGCTTAGCATGGCTCCTGCCAGGTACTACTCAGCAGCTGTGACGACCAAGGCGGCCGGTGCAACGGGCAAAGACGTTGAATGACGAGGTCTACCCCGGTTGCCCAGTGGGTTGCTTCCTTGTTTCCTTTTTTTTGCGGGTTGCCTCCTTGTTTCCTTTTGTTTTGCGGGGGAAGTCCACCAACCCAAAATCGGTGCCCTTTTTTTTCCCATGGCCACTGGGCATCTGCATCCAAAAAGAACCGATTTGTTTGTAACCCACGAGTGTTCACGGGGGTCTTTTTGCCACCTTTTGTGAGAAAATGGGCGACCCCCTTAAAAAGGAATCCTTCACTACGAGGGGGTCGACCCCCCCACGAGTGTTTACGCAAAGGTAATCTGGCGTGGGAGAGGCATTGTCGCCACTCCAGGACCGGGTCGCTTGGTCAAGCGCGCAGCAGCCTTTTCGCCTTTGCGTCCGGGCGCAGCTGCCGTTGAACTCCAAAGGAGGGTGTGCGGGCCTGCATTCCTGGCATGCTGCAAGCCATCCCACAAGGGATGCCATCCGCAAGTTCAGATTATAACACTTCAAGTGTGTTTGCATACGCCGAGCAGACACATTCTTCGCACAAAGTTGTTGTAATCCATGTTTGCGGAAACATGTTGTTTGAGCCCATTTCGGTGATACTAAGGTACTAAGGTACTCCCCACTTAGAATCATGACAAGAAGCAAAGTAGGCAGAGTATGTCAGAATAGCCCCCCTTTCATATCACTGAAGCGGTTGACACTCCTGTGGATCACAGCTTTGCATGGCTGCGCTTAGGAAATCGGCCCTTAACATCCACCGGATGTTGGCTCGAGGAGTGTGGCCTGCTCACTGGATGCTGCCACAGAACGGCTACTCTGTGGCTTGAAAGCAAGTGTTTGCGTTTTTACATGGTTTACTGGGATTAACCCAACCCTCTATGACTTGGTGTGCTCAGACTGAGCTTGTTGAGGATTTACTTTGGAGACAGCCAGTGTTTGGGGAGGTGGGGGGGAGGGGGGTGTTGGGATCCTTTGAGCCAAGTGCTCACCCTCTTCCTGCAACTGGGTAGAGGTCCATAAGTTGAGATGCAGATGCACGCGAGATCACGCGAGCATGGCGATGTCAATGTCATAAGTCCGGACCTTGGGCGACGTCTCCAAACATGGGCAGATCGATTTCAATCGGGGAATCGCTCAGCTTCAAGCCATGCTAAGCCACGAAGGCTTCGAAAGCAAAGGGGGCCATGGGCATGAAGCAACTCATCAAACCCTGCAAGCAAAACGGCTGCTCATTTTATGACGAGCTCACCGATTCGGGGGGGATACCCAGCTGACTCATGGTACCAGATCCTTTACCTGGAGATCCAACTCTTACCTCAGCTTGTGGATGCATGGCAAAATTTTGCAGATGGCTTCGAGCCAAGGATCGATGCCTGGATGAAGGGGAGATGGACATCACGGAAATGGTGAGCAGTGACGGCCTCGCCCGGGCCTGAGAATGCGAAAGCAGAAGCGGTTTTGAGGGGGCTTGTCTCAAAATGAGGGAGCCCGCTAAATGGGTTGGTTTCTTTTTGGCTTCCCTTTGAAGCCAACCAAAAGGGGAGTCCGAGGTCCCTCCAAAGGGACGCGTTAATCCCCAAAGCGGACCTTTCCCATAGGGCGACAAAAGGCTCCAGCGCCTAGAGCGCTTACCACATGGTGGAGACTTCTTGTTGGGCCGGCCCACCAGAAACTGAGCCCAAAAACGGCCCCTGGCCCCTTTCCCTAGGCGTTCACGCTCCTAGGCCTACAACACGTACCACTGGATGTCCAGCTGGCCCGGCGCGCACTGCGGAAAGTTCGAGGAGTTTCACAAGTCCGTGGCCTCCTCGCACAAAGTCCCCAGCTACAACACGGAATTCCACGAGTACGCCGTAGAAAGGCGGGGGGCTACCAATGAGCGACTCTCCTGCTTGTGCCGGGTGAAAACGCCTAGAAAACGGGGTCCGAGGAAGGTATTATCCTGCTTCCGGGTGAGAACGCAAAAACAAAGCGGGTTCCAACCAAGGTATTTTGGATGAAGTCATAGTCGGCTGGTTGAAAGGACATCTTTCTGCAGCTCATGCTGAGCACTCAATAGCTCACAGGAGCCACATTTTGTCAGATGGATGTTTTTTTGGTTTGTTTTTGTGTTCCTTTTTTTCCGAACCCCCTTATGTTACATGAAGTTTGTGCCTGCCTTTTTTCTTTCTTTTTTTCGCCACGGGTGGGCGGCGTAGGTCTTCCTCGCGGATCACCTTCGCCATTGACGGCCATGTCACCGGTGGCTTGGAGGCGCTTAGACGCGGGGAAAACGACGCCACGAGGCCACTTGATGGATTCCAACGTCGACGTGTTTCTTCTTTTTGTTTGGGATGTGCAGCCAGGTCCCCCAGTAGTGCCCTTTTACCCTTGTTTGGGGAGGGTTCCCCTACCAAAATAGACTACAGAAACAAGAGCGCCCTTATTCTAACCTCTCTGCTGGAGCACCTAGGCAGGGACGTGACTTGCAGGAACCCTGCGTCCTATGGGCGAGTTCTTGAACTATTTGGTGTTCCCAATAGTGGTCGCTCAATCGGCCAGGGTCACTGGAACGCAGGGGTGTCTATGTTTGCCTCCGCGTTGTTGTTGTTGTTGTTTTGTTTGTTTTGTGGGGGAAGGAGTTGGGGGGAAATTTCCTTTGTTTCCCATGATGTGACTGAGCAAGAAGGCAGCATCATGTTGACCCGGATTCGTTCCTGCCCCGCGTTTTGTTTGCGACGGACTTCCCAAAATTGATCAAACAGGCTGCAATCTGTCAAAGCCATCATCTAGGCACTTGTGAAAAAAATGTGGATTCCAATCCAGAGACCTGCACAAGGGGTTTTCTGGCTCTGGATCATATGAGGTTCGGTCAAGACGTGTTGGTTTGTTTGTGGTCCGTTTGGGGACGTGGGACGAGCTCGAAATGTCCAGCCACAGGACTCGCTAAAGCTGATCCCCGAACGGAAGGAACCCAACCAGCTCCGATGCCATGTGGGTGTGGTTTCTTCTTTTTGGAATTGGACCCGGGCCCCAACATGGATCGCAACGGTTTTCCTGTTCCCTCAAAAAATCCCCAAGCAAAGCTTTGGTGCCAACCCCTCACCCCCAAAATCAACACAGAACCATGTGGTTTCGCACTGGGTTCCCTTCAGAATCACAAAGCAAAAGGTAATTGCCACCCCCACCAAAAAATGCTGGTGCTCGGTAGGGAATGACTCAGGGTGTTCGGAATGAACCCAGGTTCCCCTCAAAGGAAACCACCAGTTGGATGGACAATTCCGTTTCTCATTCCCTGCTGAGGTTCTCAGCAAAACTTGGTGACTCCCAGCCATCCCCTTAGCTTGTTAGCCTTTTAGTGCTTGGTGGTAGTTTACATTTAACCCACTAACAGTGACTAACTTTTAGCGGGGGGATCAGAAAACGGGCAGCCCAGAAAAGACAGACAGGCAGACAGACCCAAAAGCTTTTTGGGAGAAGCCAAACGCAACTCAGGGAGCTTCAGCGCGGAGCGCAACAACTTTGTGGTCTCCGAGACCCCCTTCTTTCTGCGCCCCGGGCAGAATCATGAGGCTGCACGTGTGTCAAACTACTGTGCTTGACTGCTATTGGGATGGATCTGTAGGCTTTAACTTTTTGGGAAATCAAGGGGTTTTCCACTAAACCCACAAACAGTTGTTGTTTTTTTGCAGAGGGGCCAACAGCAGCCAATTGTGGATGGTTGCGAAATCCATTTCGCACCACCTGAGAAACCTGGAATGAATGTGAGTCCCTTGTGCATGCCAATCAGCCATGGTTTCCGCCTATGGTTTCAAAGTGAAATCCCATCCACAGTGGCTGAGTTGTCCAAAACCAACCTGTTGACCCTCTTCCCTGTTTTGGTCCATGGTCAAGGTTCCAAAGGTTAAGCTTCGATTTCCAGGTGCTTTCGGTAACTGAGCCAGGAAAACCCTAATGTTAGGCCTCCTTTATTGATAGCTCCCTCTATTGCACAAACCTTTTCTAGTTCAGGATCCTGTGACTGGTTGAGGGGTCCTCTATTATGGAAAGTTGTTTTGCCCCCCCTCCCCCCCAAAAAGGAAAAGAAAAAAGTCCTCCCCCTCCCCAGCTCAAAGGTTAAAAGCCTAAGTACTGGGAATCTGAGATGGGGCCTTGGCAATACTAAAGTAGAATTGGCAATTCTAAAGTGCGTACTGTCACTCCCAGAGCCCCAGCATTTCACTACAGAGGGTTCAGCTGACTGGTTCCACTGTTCAGGCGGGGGTCGCATCAAAGAGGGTCCAACATTACAGTTGCCAAAAGTTGGCCTCGAGGTTCCTAACAGATGTCGGACGGTTATTCAGCTTCTGAGCCTTGACATGGCTACCTGCAGTTTGCATTGGCAAGTAGTCCGGCGCGTCCGAACAGGTCACCGAGCCACAAGGGTAGAAAGTTGACTCTATAAACTCCTTTCGTCGACGAATCTTCCACAGCCCCGAGAGGGTCTTTCAATCAACTCTAAGTTCCACACAAGGGTAGAAAGTTGGTGGAGGGTACTCTACAAAGTCCTTTCGTCGACGAATTTTCTACGGTCCCGATAACAACCCTGGGTTCCACGGTTCCACTTCTTGAATAGAAGAGGGAGAGGGAGAGAGAGAGAGAGAGAGAAAATCAAATACAAGAAGGGGAGGGAGGGAGGTAAATTTACAGCCAGACAACCCCTTTTGGGAAGATCACCCACGCAAGGGTTTTGATTTACTTTGTACATTGGGTTTGGATGCCCTGGCTCCTTTTCCTCAGGTCTCGATTCTTGGGTGCCATTTACCTTTGTTCACCTTGGGATCTTTTTGGGCCCGTGTCCAACCATAGACCTTGCAAGTTCAACCACGTGCATGGGTCGGGGCCCGAGGTCAAATTTGAACGGTGGTGATCTAAGGATCCTCAATACTGCGCCGCTTGCTTGCAACATGGCCGAAAGGTTGGCCTTGCCGGGTCGTGCAGTGTCGCTAGTCTTAAGCAACATGTTGGGTTGACGGGGTGGTTTGCCCGGACTAACATGTTGGAGGGAGCCAGCGGGTCAGGGCGGACATTTCTTATAGGTAAACGGCCCATTCTGCAACATTCGCCCCAAAGGAAGGGAATGGATAGGTTGTTCTCTGACTTTGAGACGTGTTTGATGCAGCCAGCTGATCCGATCGGCACCCACTTCAAGTGCAACACGGATTCCTTGCCTTTCGCCAGGTCGGCTGCAGTTTGGCCAGTCAAGCCCGTTTCTCTGACACGTGGTGCAAGGCTTTAGTCATTGGGTTGGACATAACAAGTTCCAAAGGAAGCTTTTCACACTGGAGAGGGGCTCAACAAGTTCCATCCCCGAAAAGGACGAGGTCAACATGCAAAAATACTTTCTTTCACTCGGTGCGACGCAGCTCATAAAACGAAGAAGCACAGGCCAGCGTTTTTGTTTGCCCCTATCTCCATGTGTGTGGTCCAGCTTCTGTTGGTGCCACGAATCCCCTTCATGGTGAGAAACTTAAGAGGGGATGACCCCCTCTATCACAGAAAGGCGTATTTTTGCACTACCCTCCGGAACACGTTGCCATGGAACCTGACGTTTTGGGGTTCTGCTTTCAACTTGCTGGTTCTTAGCAGGGAATAAGGGAAAGACCCCCATAAACCGTCCAACTGGTGGGAAGCCCCATAAACCGGGAAGCCCCTTAGATTCGGTTCATTCGAATCCGACACCGGGGCTCAAAAGTGTCACTGTGGGACTGGCAGCGCAGGATCGGCGGGGGCTGGCCTGGGGCACCCTCGGCAGAGACGCAGATGCCGGCGGGCAGCCCAGTCGAGACCGGTTTTCGGCCCAGCAAACTTCCCCAGAATCAGCTCCCCCCCTTTTCTTGGTTTTCTTTTTTTTGGGGGGGGGGCACCTTTTTTTTTGGGGGGGGGAGGGGCACCCTTGTGTTTCCACTGGCCAGGCAAAAAATTGTTTTTGTTCTCTGTTTTTTTTTGCTGGGTCCAAATTCCAGCCAAATGGGTTGACCAGGGAAACCGCGACCCCTTGAAACTTAAAGGTAAGCCCTGAAAGGCGATTCGCGTTTCTTGGCCGCTGTTTGATTACACCTTGTTCGCAGGAAGATGGAGCCATCCATTTTTGGTTGGGGAGGCCAACCATCATCTTCTCCGCAAATTTGTGTTGGCCCCATTTCTCCCAAGCCTTTAAGCTCAAGGGCAGTTTCAGGAGCCTAACCCCTTTCAGCTTGACTGCTATTGAGTTGGATCTTTAGACTTGAACTTTTAGGGAAATCATAGGGGTTTTCCACTACACCCACAAAAAGTTGTTGTTGTTTTTTGCAGAGGGGTCAACAGCAGCCAAGTGTGGATGGTTGCGAAATCCATTTCGCACCACCTGAGAAACCTGGAATGATGTGAGTGTCTTGTAAATGCTAACCAGCGATGGTTTCCGCCTATGGTTTCAAAGTGAAATCCAATCCACAGTGGCTGGGTCTTCCGTATGAAACCACTAAAAGTTAAGCCTTTAGCACCGAGGTCACCCCAAAATTCCGGCAAAAGCCACTGCCTTAGGTGGAGCACCTCATCGACTGGGTGCGGGTGGTGCGCAAGTCAGAGGCCTCCACCGTGGCGAACGGCGGCTTCCAGGCGCGGGCTTCGGTTGGGTTTCGGTGGATCTGTTTTCTGAGCACCCCTCGCATCCCCTCAAAACAAGCAGCTAGATATGGGCATGTCTCCATTTTGAGGGAACCCCAAAAAATGGTGGGTGTCCTTTTGGTGTCCCTTTACACCCTAGGTGCCCCAGCTAGGTGCCCTTTTACCGTTTCTTTTTTGGTTGGGAGGGTTCCCCTACTAAAATAGAGTGAAGGAAAAAGGGTACCCTTATTCTAATCTCACTGGAGGACCTAGACAAGCAGGGCGTGTTTGATGTTCCGCCCTTTCAGGATCTCATTTAGCAAATAAGGTTTAGTTCTAGTGTGTGCTTGAGGGCCAGCATCTATGGGATCTAACTGTCACTGTGTTTTGTCTTGCTTCTGCAGGTTGCTTTGGCTTCAATTGTTTGAGGGGTTCCGGAAAGGTAAAGAAGCCGAAACCAACAAGTGCCCTCTTTGGTCTTTGTGCGAGACGGTCGTCGCTTCCCTTGTAGTGGTGTCTGATTTCAGGGTAGGATTCGGGACCTCCTTGGAGAACTCAGGGAGTCCAATTAATTGTGTTGGAGCTCATTTAGGGGTCACACAACTTAGGTCTAAGGCCGGTTAAAACGACCCCAATGTTGACACCCTCGAGCATGGAACCCTGCAAAAGTGTGAGGGCGGGTATGTGTGCTATGCGCCCTTGCCGCCCAACCCCTTCGAGAAGTAGGCACATGGATGCTTCCAAAAGAAAACGTCCGTTTGGAACCAAGAAACCTCAAGAAACGTCAGCATGTGTCAAAACCATGTCTTATTTGCATTGTTTTGCCAAATAGGGGTCTTCTTCGTTTGGCGTCCAATCAAATGCCGCAGTCTTCAACAGGAACATGTTAAACCGTGCACTGCCGAAGCATAAGTCTCCTGCCGAAGTTCCCGGTAAGTTCAGAAAATTCCGCCGTTTTGCCCGCGGGGAAGCCAGAAATCCGAGTGAACTGGGAACAGAATGCGGACTGCTTGGAGCGTGAAACTGAGTTGGGCCATTGGATTTGTTTGGGGCTTTGGCAACATTCCGGGCAAAAATATCAATTCCATAGTTGCGGTTTGAGATCAGGGATTCTATTGCATAGGTACCCCGAGAACCACCCTTGAAAAGTCAAGAAGCAAAGTCATGTTAGTGGGAGGGGGGTACCTCCTACAGTTACAGTTCTAGGGGTTGATTCCCCATTTGTTCAACCATTGTTTTTTCAAAAACCAGCTGTTTCGCCTGGGGGTTCGGATGGTTTTCTGAAAAGAAGGATCCCTGGAAAGAATGGGGAAGTGTCCCCTAGGACAGTGGTAACTGGGACTGAGAACGAGGACGACTCGCCTCTCGCCCCTTGCAGGTCTCCAGCGAGATACGGCGCCACACCGCGCTTTAGTCTTCTTGCCGGGCCGGCAGTGGCGGCTGGGCACTCCTTCCGTGCAAGGGTTGAATTTTGGGATTTGGGATTTGGGGGTTTAGAGGTTCAATGAGTAGTTTAGGGGTTATATAAAGTACAGGGGTTCCCACTAAACCAATTATAGTTTAGTTTAGTGCATTTAGGGTTCAATATAATTTAGGGGTTATATAAGTTATATTGATTGTGTTTCCGCTTCTCCAGTGGCACAAAGGGGGAGGGAAGTTACCAATAGACAGCGGCCATTCAAATGGGTGGTTTCCTGATGACCCGAACTCTCTATTTGGTTGAACGTGTGTTTTTTCTCCGGTTTGTCGCGGGAGCTGTCCGCTGTCCACAAACATGCACACCTCTGTGGGGCGAACAGGATTGCCTGCCCAACCATGAGCCGAGTTGCTGACGTAAGGTTTGACGTCCCTACCTATCTCCAATCGTCTCCTCGGAACCCTGAATCAAGCTGCTCGATTAGGGGGTGCTCCCTGCAAGAGTGAAGGGTCGACACCAGAATGAGACACCACCTATAAGCTGCCGTTTGCTAATATCAAATGATTCGGGAGTTTTCTTTGTGATGACGTGGTAGTGGACTGCGGCGAGTTCCCATGTTTTGTTCGGAACCACCCTTCGGTCCAATCTGTGGCCCCGGCTTTGGCAGCTCAGGCCATTCGCCCTCACGGCCTGTGATCAAGCGTCGCAAAAGCGTACCGGACAGGATGGGGCGACCTTGGCTCATTTTGATCAGGGGCTCTAGATTCCAAGTGGCCTGTCTGTTTACAACCGTTCAAACCAGCTAGAGATTGCAGGTCAAGAGGAAACCACCCATTTGAATGCCCGCTTCTCTGCCCCTTTGTGCCACTCGAGAAGTGGGAACCCAAAAGGGTTGCTGACCTAAGGCTTGCCGCCCCTCCAATCTGCAGGCTTGCTTTGGATGGCGCGTGGACTGGACACATCCCCCAATCCGCAAAAGGACGATGTAAATTCAAAGATACCTCCACGTGACGGAGCATGTGCCATGGGAAACTGCAAGTTTACTCCTTGTTTCCAGGGATAGTCATTCAGCCTTTGCACCAGGATCTTTAACAGAAGGTAGCCATGACTGGGAAGGTAGGACATCTCTTCACTCCTCACCATTCCCTCGCTGCTCTTGGTCATGTCTCTGAGCTTGAGACGTAGGGATGGATTACACGGGCTAGTCTAGAGATGAAGGAATAGTTGACATGAAAGATGCGAGCCCGCCATCCCTTTTCCTTTTCTCTTCGCCTTTCCTCATCTCGCATCCGCTGGACTACAGCGCACGCGCGTCAAAATATGTCAAAACCACCACGTCTTGTTCAAGCCCAACATTGCCCCTGTGTGTCCTTGCAGTTCCCTTCTGCCACTGCTCTCCATTCACCGTACAAACCAATCGTGTGGAGGCCATTCAAACTCCTCGGATTTGGGCAGCGTTTTGCTGAAAAGAGGGAGCACGCCCCAAAGGCAGCATGCTGCGGAAGCACGGGAATGGTGAGGGAGCCATGGACCCATGAGCAAGCAAGACTAGCCTGCTGCAGTTACTCGGGTTTGGTGGTTGGATGTGGTCGGTTGGCTTGCACCAGAAAGGCTCCCTGGCGCTTCTCTTGAAGCGCCAAAACACAAAACATCACTATTCACGCATTCCCCCTGGTTCCCTCGGTTGCGGGGGCTCGCCTGCTAGCAGACGCAGGTGGCGCAGCTTAGGGGGGAGTGCCAGCGGCTGATGGACCGGGGGAGGGGGGGGGGGATGGGGGATGAGGGGGCAAAGCGGATCTCATGGAAATTTCACTCTTTCCAGGTCCTGTCATTGCAAAGCGCAAGCAACCATAGAGTCTTTGGTGCCATGGGGCACATATCTTCTACGCCAGCCACAGGAAAATATATGGGCAGTTGGCCAAACATAAACAACTCACCGGTCACAGTTGTTTTTGTGTTTTGCGGCTTTCCCGACTTTCCTGTAGAACTTCCTGTGGCTGGTTTTCTTGGATGAGCGCCAGGGCCATGTTGAGCCCGATTGGCTGGAATTGCCGTGCATGACTCACATCCGCTTAGTCCGACGCCAATTGCCTTGCCGACGGAGCGGGCAATGAGGGAGATTCGTTTGGTTGACCCTGTCAAGACCAAGCCGTTCTGACCTTAGTTCTGAATCTGATTATTCCAACGCTCCCTTCGTTTAGAGGGATCACCCCAAATGCTTTCCGCTTGCCTGTTTTGAGACTATTGCCCCTGCAAAAGACCAGCAAGCCTGACTTTGCACAAGCGCGCCGTGCTTCTCGCATGTGCTGCATGCCAAAAATAACAGCCCGTCTTGTTTGCATCCAACAAGTAGAGACTGCAAGACGATGTTTGTTTTTCCCAGAGGCCCCATTTAACACCCAGTGTGCGAAAGAAGTTCCCCGCCCTCCAGACAATTGGAAGCCAAGCGGCGTTCCAGTAAACAGGAGAATTGTGCCATGTGGTCTGCTCAGGGCCGCTCGGGCGAGGGAGGTCATTCTTGTCCAGGGGGGCACAAACATGCAGATGCACAATCTTGCGCCGGTTGCTTGCTTTTGGGCGTTGACGCACAATTGCCAGTAGTCTGTTGTGGTCCATTTAGGAGTGACATGGGGAAACCACCAAGTTTATCATGGCTGGGGACACGAGTAATTTTGACCGTGGCTCACATGTATCTTTCGGAGCCTTTTTCCCCTGCAGCTTTTCAGTCAGCAAGCGCCTCCCCCAGGACATGAACAGCAGCCTCCAGTCGCAGCTGTCGAGAGGCGTGTATTAAGACAAAGGAAATTCAAGAGAAGCAAAAAAAAGAAAATAAAAAAAGAAAAAGAACAAGGAAACCAGGGAGGAAATGACAAACCATGTTCACGGCGTTCATGGAAATGGGTAAGGGCGCACCCTGCGGCCTGGTTGTTATGTTTCTAATTCTGCACTGATTTTAGGGAAGAGCCCAAAAACCTGCCCCATTCTCCGTTGCAATGGCTTTTGATTGATAAAACCAAAAAAAGAAAGAACACGGCGGTTCATTTTGCTTCTGTCGCTTGCGACAGCACCTGGTGATTCTCAAGGGCCCCTGTGATTCTTAGTGGGGTCCCTGCAAGGGGACGCCAACAAGAGGGGCTCATAGCGACGAAGTTCATGCGCCGAATCGAATGGGTCCGTTTAGGAAATGACCTTGATAGATGGCTTGAGTGTATCTGACAATCATAGGACAGGAAAGGACAATCCTAGGACAGGACCCTGCGATGGCTTGATGAGAATGACGTGCTGTCAGCAGGCTGATGGTTCAATCATGTTTACCTAGCGTGTTTCCCTCCTGAACAACAAATTCAACCCCGAACAAACCATATTGTTTAGGGCTGGTTTTGGGGCTCCCTGAATTTTGCAGCACCTCCTGTCTGCAACTTTCGAATTCCACCGGAACTCCAATTCCGTCGCTCATCCATCAAAAAAAAATATCGAGGGCCTTTGATTGCCACACTGGTTCCGCCTTTTTGGCCTTTGGGGTTTCCTCCAGTTTCCCTTTCGACCAGCACGCCCGCGATCGGCCACTTTTTTGACAAAGAAACCTCCGGTCCGATCCATTTGGCCCAGTCACTCGCGTCCTGCACAGGTGAGGATGCTGCAGCTGGGTCCCTAGAAATCCGTTTTTGGCCGCGGATCGACTCTCCACATGGGGAAAATCGGCCATGCCATTCGGCAATAAGCCATTTGCTGGAGGAGAGTGGGAAGACTCGGGTCCAGGATATTTTGTGCAGCTTTGCGCCGTTGGCCTTGTGCGGCCTTTTCAGGATGATACCCTTCCGACCGCCAGCCTCCTTTTGGAGCAAGGTATGTCTTGTTTTTTTTTGTTTTTTTTCTTTTGTGTGTGTGTGGTGAAATGTGGCATCTTGCTTTTATAGACGCCGTTTGAGGTGACACGCGCACACAAATACCCTCTCACGAAGCGGTGTGGAAGTGAAAAGGTTGCGCTTTCTTGTGGGAAAGTGCTCTTACATTTTTTTGTGCATCGAGCCATGATTGGGGTAGGGTAACGGGCAACACTCAAAGACCTGTGCGATGCAAATGGGGAACAGCAAGTCACACCCTCTCGACCCCCGACACACGCGCGCACGCGCACCCACCCACCCACCCACCCACCCACCCACACACACACAGACACACACCAGAACATCCAATTGGAAAAGACACAGGGCTCGCTTGTGGTCATGATGGCCCTTTTACTCTTTTTTGGGGGGGAGAGTTCCCCTACTAAAATAGACAAAAAAGAAAAAAGTTGGTACCCTTGTTCTAACCTTTCTACTGGAGGACCTAGAGATTTAGTCTTGAACATCAAGCACGCGACAGCCAGAAGCCGGGGTAGCGGCTTCGAGGCGCAGCGCGGCCTTGAGGAAATGCGGGAGGCGCGGGCTCGATTCCAGGCCTTTTAGTTTTCCCAAAGAAGGTTTGGTGTTGTTTTTGTTGCAGGAAATTCCTCTACACAAATCACCTGCCTCAAAGCCGGATTTGCTTTTTTCGTTTCCGCTTTTTTGGTGGATGTTTAAGCTGGTCTTTGATTTTGTCTGCCTTTTTGTGGAGGCTGCGGCCTCCAAAAAACATCCTCTTGTAAACGGGGTTCTGAACCAGTAGCTCACTGGTGAAACAAAATGAACAAGGCAGTACGATGTGCCCTTTCAACAAGCAACATGGCTGGTTCGGTTCACACCCGGCCCATGGTCAACTTGTGGCAGACTACGTTTTTTGTAAGGAAGAGCCTGCGCACTTCCACGAGCCAGTGTGAGGGCAGATGTCATTGCAGGTTGTTGTATGGGCGATGCGCAGTTGTGCTCGCACTCATGTTTCTTTTTGTTGCTTCCGCCGGGGCCAAGCCATGTATGCCGACGTATTTCCTTGAAAGCAAGGCAGATAGGTGAGCTTGGGATATCCAACTCTAGAGTGTACTATGTTGTTTCCCATTCGCTTCTTCCAGGCCCCCATGAACC